CCCCAAAACCCCAAAACCCCAAAACCCCAAAACCCCATTTAAGAAAAGGATTTTTGAAATCCTTTATCACATAAATTAATACCTGACTGGGGAATGAGGAGTGATTTCGTCCACGAACTCACTATAGGCGACAGAGCCTTTCTTTGTCTTATCAAATCTGTCCATCAGAGAGCCAAGTTCTTTGTCTGTAGCAAAGAATCTATGTCTAGCAAGGAGATCTTGAAAATCTCCTTGGGTGATGCTCTGAGATCCGAACCTATTTATAGCATCGAAAGCATCAGTTCTATCAAAAAGTGGCCTCTCTGAGTGCTTCTGTCTGATATGTTCAGCCAAATTCTCGGTTTCTACTACAAGTCTAAGAACTCTGACAAAATCTTCTCTTGTGACAGGATCAACAATATCAGGAGTAGGATAATATCCGTTTGGGAACCTCCTATTTCTATGGTCAAGGCTATCTCCGAAAGCTCTATCAAGAGGGAAGAAAATAGCTGAAAATTCATCAAATCTTAAAGATTCGTCCCTATTTTTATCATACCTTGATACTATAAGCCTTGCTTCATCGACTGTGATCATAACCCCAAATCTTGCTAATCCATCTTTTACGTTGAAAGGTTCGATTCTACCATAACCTGAAAAATCAAAAATGTTGAAAGCATCATGAATCGTGAAATTAGGTCTCTGAGCTAATGCTTCCTTAGCTGCTTCAAGCTTTCCTTCAACTGTGATTAGTTGAATCAACGATTGAGCTAATTCCTCTTCCTCAAAACCTTTTAGAAGACTACTTGGCCTCACTGAGCTGTGGAAATTTCTTGTGACATGGACTCTTGATGGAGAATAATGCTTGGTTTCTTCAATATGAGATCCTCTTGAAAAATAATGACTGGTCTCATAATCATGCACTGAACAAGGCGAGTAAGGCGTATATTCCTTCACATGAACGCTTCTTGGAGAATAATGATTTGTCTCTTTAACATGGACTCTTCCAGGTGACCTAATTATTCTAGTGATCCTCTCTGGAGAATGAGTAACTGTGGTAACTCTTTGAGGAGACCTTGTGATCCTGGTTACTCTTGGAAATGGCTCTCTAGCTCCTGAATCAACATACCTTGACTCAACTCTGGCAGAATTTCCTGACAAAAATTCAGCCCCAAATGGCTTGGTATTGTCTTTTCTGGTAAACGAAGTAACTGTTCTACTGAATGGAGAATCCCTTGTTCCTGTATATCTTGGAGGAGAACGCCTTGCTGAGGAAGTCCTAATTTCATCACTTGGCCTTGGAGATTCTTTAACTTGGGTCCTCACTTCCTTATAAGGAGAGTATTGAACATGCGCTATAGGAGGAGAGAAGTGATGTGTTTTAACTCTCATAGGACTTCTGTTTACAGTAGTGATCCTTCCTGGGCTTCTTGTAGTAGTTGATACTCTTCCTGGACTTCTCTCAACTGTGGTAACAACTGGCTCTGGCCTGATCCTCCCAGGAGAATGATAAGTTGTAGTGACATGAACTCCTCTTATAGGAGATGATAATCTTTCTCTTTCGTAAGAAATGGCTTTAGAGAATGTAGGAATATTTGATTGAATTCCTTGGACAACTTCAAGGAATTCCAAGTATGAAATAGATTCATCTCCGTCAGTGTCACATCTACGGATAATAGCATCCAATTCTTCTTCGTTCAGATACCTTGCATGGTAATCAACAAACTGCCTGATATCGTGCCTGTCAATACCTCCGAGAGGTTTGGAGATATCCATCCAGCCAAAGGCATGTTTGGTTGTGAAATCAACTCTCAAATTTAGGTCTTGCTTGATCATCCCTGTGACTCTTTGGAAATCTAGCTCTGCTGCGAAAAGGTCTGCTATCAACACACATAAGTCTGATGGTAAGACCTGGCTAGCTGTTTTATCTGGAACATAGTCTCTTGAGGCAGCCTTTTCTCTCAATGCTCCATTAGTAGCAGGAAGAGCGAATTGAGTAAACTCAGTGAAGGATAGTTTCCCATTGCTATTCTCATCGTATTGAGCAATCAAGAGTGAAGCATCACCATAATTGCAGGGAATACCATTTTCTAAACAAAAGTTGAATATGTCAGCATCTCTGAGTTGACCATGCTTCTCTATATCAAGAATAGTGAAGGTATTGAATGGCTCAAAGAATGGGTTCTCTGCTAAATTTAGCCTTGCCATTTCACATTTAATCTCAAGCTCTGCTATTGCAGCGAATAAGTCTGCAAGCATTCGCTTTGAAGCGATTGTACAATTCATTTTTAATTTAAAATATTTTATTTCAACGGAATTATTTTGAAAAGGGGTTTTGGGGTTTTGGGGTTTTGGGGG